TCCCTTCCAAGATAGGCAGAATAAAAAATGGTTCAGGCACTCCAGGATAACAATAATAGCAGCTTTATTGGGGGCAAAAGCAGCAATGTTTTGACCCTACTGGGTCTTTATCAAGTTCATCATAATAAAGACTAAATCATATATATAGAAAGGCTATGCTAGTAAATGCTCCATTCTTGGGGTGACTGATGGGAGACAGGATGAGACAGGTTTAGCTGATCTTGGCAGGTGTTTGGAGATGGTGGGCGCTGGTCCAAAACGTCCTCGGTTTTCCATTAATACAGGTCACGGTACCCATGAGCTGAGAAAGGAACAACTCTAAACAGATTGTCATCAGGCTGTTACTCTGTTCCCAATGCCCTCTTATCATGGTGTCTCATCCAGTCACACAGGTCACTCCTCCTGACCCGGATTTCATCATATGATGACAAAGCGCAAAGTTTCTGACCAAAGGGCCTTCCCTAGATCCCACATACTTTTCCACTTGATATGAGCACGTTTAGTTTAGCCACATATTTTTCTGTTGTTTATCATAGAGCTGAATAGAACTTTACAGGTTCTGAACAGAGCACTGCATGGGTTAACTATAGCGGAGCAAAGTGGGAAACACTGCTTTTATGCAACACTTGTCAGGGAAACTTGCCCAAAGTTGCTGAGATGAATTATTCTGCCGGCAGTTGGGACACAGATTGCAGGATTTTGTGCTTTGCTAACCACATCCATGACTATAAATCATTTTTACAGGTGCATGGGTGGCACAATGTCTTCCAGCTGCTCCTTAAAAAGGAAGGACATAACTTGCTGCAGTAAGTTTGGCTGTCAGTGATAACTCATTCATACCCATGGGCAGGAAACGGCTGACCCAACCAGCATGTTTTTAGGTGACAGTCTAGGAAGTCAATAGTGCAAGTTCCTGTATCAGGGAGAAATCAGGGGGAAGGTCACCGGAGAATCTCAGCAGGACGCAGCTGTACAACACCAACCAAAAAACATTCTACGGTGAAGACACTTGCAGTTTAAATGACAAATTTCAGGCACAGAAAATCCCTTACTCACCCCAGAAACACGTTAGCACCATTTAATAAAAACGGATTCCTGGGATTCTAGCTTACGTGCTGAATTAAGAGTAAGTTTTATCCAAGTCCAAGCTTTGTAAATAACCCCTAGGGGAAAAATTTGCGTTTATGTTTTTTTGTTAAAAAAAAATTCCAACAGAATTTTAAAGTTTGAAGGACCAAAATCATATTTCATATTTTAAAGTCACAAAAGTGTGGGGTGGTTTACCACGTCCTTGATAGGCAATCACTCAGAAATTAAATCAATTATGCAAGAATTTGTCCTAGAGCATTTGCAGCAAGCATGGAAAGTTCTTGTGAAGCAGAAACAGGTTCATACGGCGTACGTAGTGTTAGATCTAGAAGTGATCAAGTTAATCGGTAAATGTAAACACGGTATGTTGGAGATACAGACACATGGCTCGGTGTAATAAACGAGTCAGCTGGTGGCTACACTGCAATTAAAGGACCACTCTAGGCACCCAGACCACTTCAGCTTAATGAAGTGGTCTGGGTGCCTGGTCCAGCTAGGTTTAACCCATTTTTTAATAAACATAGCAGTTTCACAGTGAGAGCACGCCAGCGTCCATAGGAAAGCATTATGAATGTTTTCCTGGCACTATAGTGGTCCTTTAAATAAAAAATCTCTCTGCCAATTCCATCTCTTAAATCAAAATCAATAAACCGCTAATACAGACTAAATATAATATTCCCTTCATTAGCAGCTAGTTTAAACGTTCTCCATTCTCTTTGTTTTGCAATGCAGAATGAACTTTAGTCCGGACATAAGCAAGGCTGGACGTCAAAGGGTTAAATTGTGAAATCATTTAATCTGAAAGAGCATAAATGTCTGTTTTGTCATTTTCTGACCAGATTTTTCAATTAATTGCATTTAGCAAAATGCTGAATGAGAGGATTAATTTGTTTTCCAGTTTGGCCATTGTACACACATCTTACAATCTGGCTATAAATCTAGTCTGTTTTTTTATATTTCTTTTGATTTTATCATTATTAGTTTCAGACAAAAAATAATTACCTTAAACCCATTATTTATTTCTTTATTTCTTTTCCAATTCAGTTCAATCCCAGCCATCTAAAGATGCAATGAAGTTAGATATTTTGCTGCAATATTTTCCCCAGTAAAATATTGTCTCTAGCCTGCTCTGGTGCTGAGAGGGTTAAAGATTCAGTAAACACTGTAAAGGCAGTGAATGAATGAACATTTAGATATCTAGAGTTGGGAGCAGAATGGTCCACGGTAACCATGGAAATGGTGGAAACAGAGTAGTCTTTACAACCCCCCCCCCCATACCATCTCCTTTCCCTTCCCCCATGATCTCTTCCATAGCAATTAGGCCCCTCAGTGACTGGGTAAAGGGGCCACATTGCTTGTATTATACCAGCTGCTTTATTGCTGAAAACTTGGACTAAATGTGGCTCCCATGCTCCAGGTTATACATTTACTCAGATCTGAAGCACTTGTCCACGTGCTGCCCTTCATTCCTAACAGACCACAATCCCATCCAGCGAGCTAGCTTGTCATATCATTTAGCTTTAATCAATGATCACACTAGGTGGCTCCATGCCTCCTGGGGTCGAAATGTACTCTGCCCCCCACCAAAGGGTAAAAAATTAAAAATGGTTGTCTCCGTCTCCAGCACCCCTAACCCTTTTGTGACATGCACAAACTGACATTCATATATACGTTCATATCCACATTTACTTACATTCATGTACTCACATACATTCATGTACATAGTTGTCTATGTTGACAAAAGACTAACGTTTATCTAGTTCAACTTTGAAACCTATTTTTATGCTGTTTATAAAAAAAAAAGTCTCAAAAATTCCTTCTTGAGTCCATAATGGAATTGTTGGTTCAACAACCAGTTCACATACTTATTAACTATATCATTGTCTGTGGTCAGAAGACTGCAACGATTATTTGGGGTCGTGGTCTGTGCTGGACACAAGTGACTTTCACACCTGGTTTGACAGTTCTTTTCTCAGGGTGCTCAGATTAAGGAACCCTGTGGTGGCACAATATCCCAAACTGAGGTGAGTTCAGATGGACACACTAGACACCCTGTGAGAGGAGCCCGCAAGAGTCCACCAATTCAAGAAACTCCAGATGTCTGAGTGGTCTGGTCTTCTACCCAGTCTAGGATGGTCCTGGAACACACATTGGCGTCTCGGGTGACAAGATCTATTGAGATTTTGCTCAAATTGTTGCTTAGCTCAACAGAAAAAGTAACTGTGCCACTCGCAGTGATATGGAAAATGCAGTGTAAAGATAGAGTGCATTGAGTTCAAGATAAACTGCAGGGTTCTCTCTGGGATCATCCCGATACATTTATTTAATAATCGGGTAGTTGGGAAACACATTGCCTTGGTGACAGACTCTTGTTTTACATTCCTTTCCTAGTGTGTAATTAAATGTCTTAACACACAGGATTAATGTATATTTTATATTTTATATTTTATATTGTACAAGGCGTGCTATAGTAAGCATTGACAAGATGTGTTTGAGTTTCCTTTTCAATGTAGTAATGCAAGGTTAGCCCAATATGTGCTTTCACTCTCAATAAGACGAGTTATCTCTCAATAGCCAAGTCTCGCCCTGACCAGGTGCGTGGAGCCCTATTTACTATCAGTGTGTGTGTTCCACCTCTCTTCTTGTACTACTGTTTGGTGCTATCTCTGATTACATGACAGGACAGAAGTACATCCATCAGATCCTTCCAGCTCTCAATGCAGGGCCAGTGATAAAGCAGGCCCTACAATCATACATCAATGGGGAGAAAGAGGCTTTCTAGATAAGAGACCGAGCAATAACTCAGGAACCAGGGACGAGTGACAGTTACTGGCTTTCTGTGGTGGAGAAATTGTGGTTTATTAATGAAATAGTCTCTTCCTGTAGGGGTTTTCAGTTAATTATTATGTAACTATTCTAATTAAGATTTCAAAATCCTTCTCCCAATTTCCATTCAGTAAATAACTTGGCAGATGGGTTTATTAATGTGAGATGTGAACACTTTGCAAAACGAAGACAAAACAGCAGGATCAGTGCTGGCCACATGTGGGAATATTGGGAACATTTACAGTTTGGATCATTGAGCTTAAGTAATTTATTAATGCACGATTTCTAGTGAATCGCTAGCATGATCTGTTACTGCTTTAGAAATAAGACGAATACATTATGAATTCAATGGTAAAACGCATCATCCACTGTCATTTTACAACTGGATGAAGGAGTCAAGATGTATTCATTAAAATGGAAACTTCGGAGAATTAACCATTTAATTGTAAATTTGTGCCAGAACAGATGATTTGGAAAACTTTACTTTGTCCTCAAATGCTGAATTTTTTTGTATGTTTTTCTTTAATCAGATATTAGTGAATAGACCTTTAAAAATATTGTAAATATAAGTAAACAAAACATAAAATTTAACAGACACCAGGCCACTTTCAGTTGACGGTTCCTCTCTGTGGTGAGTTGCATGGACCTGATGACAGGCTTGGAATATATTGGTCAATAAAAACCAGCTCACTGCAGCTCACAGCTTAGTGAATCGGGCCCCATGTGACTCATATGACTGATTCCACGCCTCTGTTGGCTCATGTCTGCCAGCTTTGGGCAGTTTATGAAATGAGCATACAATTATATTCTGTTATTTTGTATGACTCACTCAGATGCATCCTCAATGCAAGGGCTACGAAAGGTTAATGACAGTATGTTACAAATGTCATTAACAGCAGGAAAAAACACACCTAGCAGTAGACACCATGCACTGCATGTAACACTACGAAAAGGATCATTAAAGGACAAACGGAAATCAAATTAAAAAAATCTTTATGTCAGAGAATAGAAATACACTCTCAGCTCCCAGCAGAGAGAGGGGCCTTTCTGGGCCTATATCTCTGTCTCTGGCCCAAAAAATCTCTCTGCTCGACCCTGAGCCACCACACTTCATTGTGGACCAATATCAGGTGGACCAATATCAGAAGCTCCCTTGCAGTCCCCACAGGTCTTTTCAGTGACTCAGCACCCGCATCCAGTGCTCTGAGTGACTAGCTGAGCGTCGCACCACTACAGATATCTTAACGATACTGGTACAGACCGCAATGCTCCCTCAACGGATTGCCAGTGATCCCGCTCACCCTCCACCGGTCCACCAAGAATTTAGCGCACACATTACTGGACCACTGGGGTTAATACTCCTGCCAAAACAAAAGCAGAAGAGGATCAAATTAAAAACTTTTTTTTTTTTGGACAATCTTTATTTTCACAATCTTTTTCAATAGTACAGTGCGGAGTCGTGAAAACAATAAGAATGCATAACGTATACAAAAAGCACATCCCATTATACTTCACCCTTAAACTAAAGATGTAATTCAAACCCGCTCAGAATATTCTACGCTAACTCTGTAGGCAACTACCCAAGTCCTCGAGAGAAATAACTCCCGTGTAGACATTGCATGAGTTGTACGGCGTAAATGGGTCTCGACTGGTTGCACTAGTCCAGGTGAACAAAGGAACCCACCATACTACAGTGTAGAACAGAGAAGAGAAGAGTAAACAAAAAGGAAAAGAAAAATGATAGGGATGAAGAAAAAAATAATGATAAATATATGTAAATACAATTTCTGTAGTGTGATACCGCCCCTTCATGCAGGAGTAACGTGGGATCCCCAGCTCCCAGAGAATGCAAATTATAAATGTATACACACACCAAGATACTAAACACACTCCGATTCCCCTCTACACTCCCTCCACAACACCCAGAGCTCTGTGTGCAACAATGTGTTTGAGTGTGCAATTCATCTGTGCAGTGCACTGCTTTGGTGGATAAATGATAATAATATCACAACTTGCCTTTAAAATTAAAAACAATTAGCACAAATGTTAACAGTTTGTTCATATTGTGCAGACCTCGTGTCTTAAAAAAAGAAACATCTTATTGTCTTTTATTACAGCAAGTTGTGTCTAGCATTTAACTCTTTGTGCTCATTCATTTGGTAATCACATCAACCGTTCCTCCAGTTTGAAAACAAATCCAGAATGCTATTACGAGACACGGAGGCTCATATTGTGCTTTCTCTTTCTTTACTGACATATAGCAACAAAGAGAATTAATATATGAATGGAAACAGATTTAAAACTAAGTATCATCTGACCTGAATGAAAAGCCAGTCAGGTTACAGGGTGGTTAATAAGTACTGTCGACAATGTTCCAATGTCCTCTTTTTTTGCGGCTCCTAAACGGGAACAGATGGGTATTTGTTTTATGAGGGGAAAAAATAAATATGTTTTGACTAAAATATCATTACATTTCTATATTGCTTTTACGTTTTATTATGATCAAATGTGAACTTTATTTCATTCATATATTTTGTTTAACGTGACATTCACGTTATTTATTAAATTAGCTAAATATGTCATTACTTTACATAGCCGTATTTCTTATGTGTTTCTTGCATATTAACAAAAAAGACCTTCAACAAGACTAAACATATCAAAAGTTCAATCTCTAGAAGTGTGATTGATGAGTCTCATCTCATCCCAGATGGCGTTTTTAAGCAACACACAAGTCCATCGGGAAGAATCTACGAGGCAATGGAAACGTACAAAAGCACAAATAGAGAGTTGTACAGACTCAGATGACAGTATGGTGGAGGAGGTTATAGCTTATTCCGACTCTGATTATGATCTTAATTACGATCTCTCCAAACCCAGGCAAGTGGCCAGGCCACCATCCTCTATTTCAGATACATTTTCAGATTCTTTAACAGATCCTCAAGGTGAACCTCTATTTGATCTAGACGGCCTTTGTTATCCCAGATCTGCAGAATGATTCCCATCAGATCATATGGCCATATATCTACAGCATAGGCTACTTTGTCCACTGGACAAACTGGCAAGGAGTAAATTAAGGGCAGAATGCCCTATACCAACTATGCCAGGCAAAGTTTGTGAAACCTCAGAAATGGACCCAAAAATGGTTCAGTATCTGGAAAAACAGGGCTGGATCCAGAATAAAGGAATGGAGGCAGCATTCAGAGCTTGCCCAGTTTAACATTTGGACATGTTGGGTACTGCTGTTGATCTAAAAGTCCTTAACGATCTGTTTGCCATGCTGGCAATGTAAATACCACACTGTGTGTTGAAAGACACCAGGCTATTTTATTAAAAATAGAGCCCAAATTGGTAAATTTAGCTACTTCCGAAGCTGGGATGGAAGCTAATGGCATTTAATTTGGTGATGGAATTAAGCAATTTTGTTAATGCCTTCACAGCCTTGGATAAGGCACAATCTAATATTAAACTTGTTTTTACAAATCGTGTTTTTTCCCAAAGGCAGGCAGAAGCAGGGGCCCTCTGTCCGAGGATCTAATTCATTCCGAATTAATCATCTCTGCCTGTGATATAATTAATGTAGATAATACAACCCAATTATCCACAGTCAGAAAAACACACATTTTCCCCAAAGTCCAAAAAACACCCCAAAATACAATATATCCCCATATTATATCGCTGGATAGCTCTGATCTGGGTGAGCAACATATCCAAAAATCACCCAGATCAGAGCAGGGGTTCAAAAGATTTATGGAAGTCTCTTTTCACCGACCGCACTCATGATTTCATGCCCAAAACAGTTCCAGAGAATCAGGGCTTGCGGCCGGTCTAGTTCCGTAGTTTGCAAACAAACAAATGAACAAACTATCAAACGGAGTCAATAGTCTTACCCTGGAGCTTCTTCCCTTCATCCAGACGAATAATCTTACCGAACAGTGCCCTTCTAAGCTGAATAGAAACGAACATAGGCGATGATGGAAGTTCAGCGTTGTTTGGGAGTTTCTGTATTCGTTTTCAGTTCCATGAGATTCATGCCCAAACACCGCTGTCTGCATTCATGCAAACAAGATGGCCGCCACCTCGTGGTTGTTCATAGGAATCACGGCCACCGAGACGAACAATTAGAACACTGCGGTAAGAAATGTTCCAAGCTGTTAATAGGTGTTAATAAGCTCCAGGGTGGTCTCTGTTTGTGCGGTTGTTTGGTAAACGAACAGAGCCTGTTTGGAGTATATTAGCCAGTTCTATTGCAGGGGCCATAGTCACAGGGTAAAAGACTGGCAAGTAGTCCCCTCCAAGGACCAATGGCAAAGTTACTTTTGTCACAATTTTTATATCTCATGTAGAACCAAAACCAAAATTTCTTTAGTATTTTATCAGGCTTTACCTCAACAACCTTCCCTTTGTCCAGTTCTGTGTTTAAAGGAATACGAACATCATACTTCGTCTCTTCAGAATCCTGAAATTCCACATCTATTTATATCTATTCAGAAACCTCACAAACTTGTTGTGAGTAACACTTGCTTGTTGGGTGAAATGGTCTTTTGATTTGGCTGGGATTGACATTTCTGTCTTTGGTTCACATTCTAATCATGGAGCGATGGCCTCAAAAATGGAGGATTGGAGGATATTATGAAATCTTCTGATTGGTCTAGCAAATCTAATAAAATTTTTGTTTTTATTTTAAACCGATTCTACATTTTTCGTCATCTATTATTTCTCAGCTTTAAAGGAGCCTATAATCTGATTGGTTATTCGTTTATGTCAACTGAAAAATGTACATTTTTAAATCTGTTTCCGTTTGTGAAGGAATACCCCATCACTTGGTTCGGCACATTTAATTTCCTTTATGTTTGTTTATTTGTTTGAACCGGACTGGTTTGGTTCCCTAAAGAGGACCATCCCAACACCTCATTAGAACATGGAATACAAAGTATCTAGTAGGAAAACCACAATGGAAACAATTAATAGAATGCTCCCCAGGGTGGCCACCATTTCGTGAAACCGAATGCACGTGGCTGACAGAATGAATGGCGTCCATTTTGTCTCCCGAACGCAGACAGCAGTACTTGGTCGTCGAGTGATTTTGACTAGGCACTCCCGCATACACTGGTGAAGATGGAACGGCTGCCCATTCAAGTTCTGGATCACCTATGCGAACGGCGTTCGGGAGATACGAAATACTGAGCATTCCACACTTGAGGGGAGGGGAGCATTCCACACTTGAAAGCTTTTGGATGTTGTATGTGCTTTTTGTACAAAATCCCTGGAACTGAGACCAGCCCTTACCACGATTCCTCTGGAACTATTTTGTGTCCGGCCGGTCAAAACTTTCCATCGATTGCAATTCCAAACTACCAAACTGATCTGAGTGCTTTTTGGATATGTTAAGCACTCAGATCAGGGCTATCCGGGGATGTTACTCTCAAGGGGTTTCCATGTATTTTGGGGGTACTTTTGGGTGTTGTAGAATTGTTGTATTTTTCTGTACCTGACAGATAATTGAGTTTGTAAGTTTTCTGACTATTATCTCCCAGGCACAGGGAGGAGTTTACTGTATGTATAAATTGTGAAGCTTTGCCTGTAATAAACAGATCTCCTACCAGCATTCAGTCTCGACTAATGTGTGGGGGGAAAGGCGATAACAGCAATATTTACTTTTAGGAGTATTGTAGCTACGATATTTGGGGAAAGGGAATCCATGGCAGTGAAATACTGGCGGTCCTCCACACCGTTCATTTATTAATTCATTTATTAATTTGCTGCAATATTGAAGTAAATAAAGAGAAAGCACAATATGTGCCTTTAGTAAAATCATGACTTTACTTCATGTTTTAGCAAAATCAATTCATTTTCTTTTGTCAGGTCCCCCCAATGTCTTTTACATTAATTAGTGGATAAAATGAAAGAAAAAAAGGTTGGTTTTACAGGTACATATGAGCAAGACAGGAGTGATTCCAGCTGGTGAAACGTTAAATTGTCCAATAATTTTCAAAACATTTTGACAACTGTCACCTTCAAACTATTTTAACCTAATAATCCTTTCATTGCGTTTTTAAAGAAAACAGATTTATTTTCAAATGACGTATATGTAAAAAAAATGAGAAAAACACCTTTAGTGTGTGACTGGACCCACCTTGGGCCAGACAGTGATTGAAAATTGACAGTTAGTCTCTATGGTTTTCCCGGTTTCTGTGCTGGGAGTGAAGCAGGAAAACCATAGAGACTAACTGTCTGTTTTTTAAACACCGTCCGACCCAAGCTGTATGTATATGGCTGAAGGATTCTATCATACACTGAAGGTAGAAATA